GCTCAGTTCCTCTCCGCTGTACAGAGCATTATCTGGACACTGCTTTTATTTAGCTTTTAAAATTGTGGTTAAATGTGCGTAACAGAAATGTTACCATTGTAACCATTTCTGAGTGTCCAGCTCTGAGGCCTGAGGCACCCTGCCAGCACTGCGCAACCATCCCCCCTCTCCGGAAACTCAGTCCCCATCAGGCACCAGCTCCCCATCCCCTCCCTCGGCCCCGGGCAACCACCCTCTCCTTTGCATCTCTGTGAGTTTGAGGGCTGCGGTCCTGGGTGTAAGTGGAATCCCCCGGTTTCCGTCCTTTTGTGCCTGGCCCCTGCGCTCAGCACCGTGTGCTCCAGGTCCATCCGTGTGTCCCAGCCGTCCCTTGTGTGCATTGACCGTCGTGTGAGGGACCCTGGGGGTGAGCACCTCTGGCCATGGTGGACGGTGCCACTGAGGACTTGGGGGTTCAGGCATCTTTCTGAGATCCTCTGTCCAGCTCTTTGGGGTACACACAGGAGTGGGATCGCTGCATTGTGTGGTCATTATCTGGGACACAGTTTTTGTTCTAAAAATAAAACCCACAGCTTGACCCGACCACCAGAGATTTCACTGAGTGGAGTCCATTCACAGAGGATCAGAGCTGTGGCAAGCAAGGCCAGGGGCACAGGTGGGTGACCACTGCCCCCTCCCTGGGAGCCACGCAGGTATCCCCAGGGCCATCCTCAGAGCTACATCTGGGGGAGAGTGGGTCAGGGCACCTGAGACCTGGATTTCTGCCTCACCCCTGCAAAGACCCAGATCCAACTCACTGTCTGCCAGCGGTTCTTGTCTTGCCTTCTGCTTCTGTCCCAGGGCCTCAGCCCTGCCCACCGAGAGGCCTGGGTGGGGTCTTCCCGTGCCACCCGCCACCCACTGCCTATGTCCCTGCCGTGATTCCTTGGGTCATTTCTCCTCCCTCCCGACTCCGTCTTCACCCCTGAGTGCTGGCAGCTCAGTACTCAGCCCTGGCGAGGCGGCCCCAGCGCCATGGTGAGCCTGCTGCTCGAGATCAGGGGAGGAGGAAGTGGTGCCTGCCCTCAGACACCACCTCGTTACTGCCCCGACCCCACGCCCCAAGCAGGACAGCCGCACCCCGGGACAGAACGGGGGTGCCCAGCTGCTACCTTTGGTGGCAAAGAATGAGACCTGGGCTTAGGCAAGCCAGCACCTGCAGGGAGGGACCAGCGGGACCTGGGACCCCGCAGCTTGGCCATGGGCGGACACTGTGGCCCAGCTGGGCAGTGCCTGTTTTAAGAAGGCCTGCCCTGAGCACTTCTCCCTCAGGCCCCAGGGCTGCCCACAGGGCACAAGGCGGCCTCTGTGGGGCAGGCGCGGTGAGCTGGGTCTGCCGTCTCCACCACCTCCCTTGGGCCTCATGACCTTGTCACCTCCACTTGCAGGTGGGGAATGAGGCTCAGATTAGTAGCGTTGTCAGCTGGGAGCCACCTGCAGCCAGGAAGCAGGGCTGGGAGTTCCCTGGGCTGTACTGTGCCGTCTGCCACCTCCCCCCAGCGCCTTCTCGCCGCTTCCTGCTCCAGTACCATCTCTGGCACCTAAGGGGCTGAGCTTTGAGCCCTGGGACCTGTCCTGGGTTATCCTTGGCACATGCCTGAACCTGGCACCCTCCTCTTCTCACCCATGCCCAGGAGTAGCTCGGGCCTCGAGTCATGGTCCGTCCTCCCAGCGAGACAGGCTGGACTCGGCTTACCTTCTGGGCCTCCTTCCTGCTCCGGGGATGCTGAGGCTGGGGGTCTGAGTGGAGGGCCATCTCCGCAGTCCTGGGCCCCAAGACGCGAGGGGATCTGGTGTGCTTCCCACGCTGAGTGCGGGGCCCGAGGGCGCGGTGGCCGCCTCTTGCCGTCCCCACTGCGCCCACCACTGTCAAGGCGTCTCTGACTCCTCACCTCTTCCTGTGCCGGGCGCCACCTCAGCCTTCCTTCCTGTCTCTTTTCAAAAGCCAACAGCCTCGCTGACAAATCAGTGAGCGGGGGCTGCCTGGGGCGCAGCTCTCCGGCTCTGCCGTGGCCCCTGTCAGTGAGAGCAGGGCGGCGTCTCCAGGCTTTCGGTTCTGGGACGGAGCATCCCTCAGACCCAAAGCTCAGAGGCAAGTGCTTTCTGTCACTGTCCCGACGACGAGCAGCTCAACAGTAAAACCACCCCAGTCCAGGGAAGAAGTGGGCAAAGACCGGACACAGTTCTCAGAGGAAGCACAGGGGCACAGATACGTGGGAAAATGCTCAGCATCAGGGAGATGCAAATCAAAACCACAGGGAGCCCCCCCCCCCCCCCCCGTGGCTCTCACGCGGACAGCAACAGACACTGGCGAGGAGGTGGGGAAAGTGGGACTCCTACTCACTGGTCGCGGCAGTGTAAGTGCAGCCACTGTGGAAAAGTGTGGAGACTTCTGTTTTTAAACATTTATCTATTGATTCTGAGTTGAGAGAGAGATCCTCTATCCGCTGGTTTACTCCCCATTTGGCTGCAACAGCCAGTGCTGGGCCAGGCCAAAGCCAGGAACCTGGAGCTTCATCTGGGTCTTCCACGTGGGTGGCAGGAGCCCGAGCAATTGGCCCTCTTCCGCTGCTTCTCCCAGGCCAGTAACAGGGAGCTGGATTGGAATTGGAGCAGCTGGGACACAAACCGGTAGCCACATAGGATGCTGGCAGCTTAACCTGGCCCCAGAGACTTCTATAAAAACTAGAAATAGACTTGGAAGAAGCTCCTGGCTTCAGACCAGCCTCCTCCGGCCAGTGTGGCCATCTGGGGAGTGAACCGGCAAGTGGAAGAGCTCTCTGTTTCTCCCTCTCTCTCTAACTCTGCCTCTGAAATAAATAAATCTTTAAAAATAAATAAATGAGGGGCCGGCGCAGTGGCTCACTTGGTTAATCCTCTGCCTGCGGCGCTGGCATCCCACATGGGTGCCGGATTCTGTCCCGGTTGCTCCTCTTCCAGGCCACTCTCTGCTGTGGCCTGGGAGGGCAGTGGAGGATGGCCCAAGTGCTTGGGCCCTGCACCCCATGGGAGACCGGGAGGCAGCACCTGGCTCCTGGCTTCAGATTGACGTAGCTCTGGCCATAGCAGCCATTTGGGGGATGAACCAACGGAAGGAAGACCTTTGTCTCTCGTCTCTCTCTCTCACTATTTGTAAAAAATGAATGAATGAATGAAAACTAGAAGTATACTTGCCATATGATCCAGCTATCCCAGTATTGGGTATATATCCAAAAGATGCGAGTTTATTGTATGAAAGAGATACCTGTTCTACCATATTTATAACAGCGCTGTTAACAACAGTCAAAATAGGAAATCACCAAGGGTGTCCCTCAGCAGATGAATGGATGAAGAAAATACAGAAAATATGGTGTGTGTGTATAATGGAATTTTATTCAATCATAAAAAATATAAAAAATTCTAACCTTTGCAGAAAAATGGTTGGAACCGGGGCACACCATGTGGAGTGACATAAGCCGGACACAGAGCAACAAACACTGCATGCCGCCTCATGTGTGAGGAGCGGAAGTTCTTCCAGAAGGAAGCCAGCCCGCGTCTGTTGGAGCAGTTGACTGACATAGGGTTGTAAATACTGAGGCGGTCAGTCGATGGCAGTAGTGCACGACTGTTGGATGAGCGGTTCTGTGACTTGCACAGTTTGATTATTGCATAGCCCTTGCCTAGTCGCCCGGTGGGCTGTCTTCTATTTGCTGAACTCTGTCGTGGAGCCACTGAGCCTTTGAGTATAACACGCATTGAAAATATGCTCTCTCTTTGCCGGCGCCGCGGCTCACTAGGCTAATCCTCTGCCTTGCGGCGCCGGCACACCGGGTTCTAGTCCCGGTCGGGGCGCCGGATTCTGTCCCGGTTGCCCCTCTTCCAGGCCAGCTCTCTGCTGTGGCCAGGGAGTGCAGTGGAGGATGGCCCAGGTGCTTGGGCCCTGCACCCATGGGAGACCAGGAAAAGCACCTGGCTCCTGGCTCCTGCCATCGGATCAGCACGGTGCGCCGGCCGCGGCGCGCCGGCCGCGGCGGCCATTGGAGGGTGAACCAACGGCAAAGGAAGACCTTTCTCTCTGTCTCTCTCTCTCTCACTGTCCACTCTGCCTGTCAAAACAATAAAAAAAATAAATTAAAAAAAAAATGCTCTCTCAGCAGTGACTTTGCACCAGGTAAACTTCTCTCCTCCTGAGGAGGAAGCCTTCCAGGTGGTGGCTGGACGCCCTGAGAGTGGCCGGGAGGCAGTGGCTCAGGCCCACGGCCGTGCCGCCCGCGCCTCTCCCTCCCTGCTCTCCTTCCTTCCCTTCTCTGTCACCCCACAGGCACCTTCTGACCCAGCTGCACCCTGCCACGTCTTCCTGTGAGACAAGGGGCCTCCAGGGCCAGGCCACCTGCACCCTGAGAGGAAGCGGCAGAATGTGGTCCCTTGCTGCACTCTTGCTCCGCCCCGAAGGGGGACTGCGGCAGGTGGGCCGCACCAACAGGGGACAGCTGACAGCCCGGGCTGAAGGACACGAGGAAGCTTACAGGGAAGGAAGAATCCGGAACACCTCCCAGGGTGTAGGACAGGGAATGGGCCGCTTCATATGGGGCCACTGAGGTGACCAGGTGGGTGCCCAGTGGTGGAGCACTTGGGGTCTGCAGGTGGGGACAGTGACGGCTGCAGCCGCGTCCAGCAGCTCGTGTGACTTGCCAGCTCACCCTCCAGGGCCTGGGCCTGGGCGAAGGAGGGGCGGGAACCCCCATCTACTAGAGGCAGACTTGCTGTGGTTCACGACACCCTCCGTGTCCCCATCCCTCTCTCCTGGCCAGCAACGCTTTCCTCATACTCAGGACTGGACCAGGTGCTGAGAGGACACCCCAGTGGCCCCAGAGAGGCCTGGCTCCAGGCAGGCAGAGCGCAGGACCAGTGGCTGCAGCCCTGGCCGTGGGGAGCAGCGAAGACGTCAAACCAGGCCACCCACAGGATGTTGGAAACCACAGGGGCCTGGTGAGTCTGTCACATGAAAGAGGCCTCCCTCCGTGGTTCACGCGCCGTGGGTGCTGAGGATGGGTACCAACACCCCCCAGGAATGTCTGTCAGCCCAGCCAGAGCCGGCCTGGCCCGTGGCCTCAGCTCCACAGCGTCCTCTGTGAGAAGTGCATGGGCCCCTGGCCCCTGGGGGACTGGCGTGTGTGGAGAGGAGGGCTGCACAGTCATCCTCCCTGTGGACTCAGGGCTTCCTGCTTGCAAGGCTGGGGCGCTTCCTTGTGAGCCCCCTTGCAGGGCCGGCAGCTCCCTGCCCCAGGCTGAGGCCAGGGCCACGAGACGTGGGACGGGCCTGGCATTCCGGGCCCCTCATGGCCAAGTGCGGCTGATCTGGTCCCCAGCCCTGCTTCCTGCGCAGGTTCCCTCTGGGGTTCCTCATCAGATGGGAACTCCTGCCTTGTCCCCAAAGCGGGCCCTTGGCACACCTGCTGCCCCAGCCTTGCCGGCACCACGATGGCAGCTCTGCTCCACCGTGTTCCTTTTCAACGGATGAGCCGGCCCAGTCCTGTGGTGCCTGCCTGCTGGCCGGTTCCTGTGGGCATGTCCAAGTTCTCGGACACTGAGCCTACTGTGGTGGTTCCTTCGTGGCAGGGGCTCCTTCCTCTGAACCCTCCCCCCAGCAGGCAGCACGGCCTCGCCGGCCGTTTCAGAACAAGGTCGTGTTGCTTCGCACGCGGGCTCAGGCTCTCGTTCCTGCCTCCCGGCTGGGCTGGCTGAAATTCCCCTGCGTTCCCCCATCCTGACCCCGCCCCCACATTGCCATCAGTGACTTCTTTCGTCACACATGCCTTTTGATGGTCAGGGCTCTGACAGGGACCTGGTCTCCTCCAGCTTCCAGAAACAGCCCTGCTGGGGAGCCCCTGTGACCCCTCTGATGAGAGTGGACACGAGGCTCTGGGCTCCTCACTGTCCGCTTCGGGCCCTGTGCACCTGCCAGGCCAGGCCGCGTGTCCAGGAGACCCGTTGCTGCTGCTCCACTCCCTCTTTGCTGATGCAACCCTCAGGCCACTGAGCCCCGACCCCCGTGCCGGGATGCAGCCGGGGTGGCCCATCCATCTCCCCACAGCCCCTGCTCAGGCCACGCAGCGCTCTGCAGCTCGTCCCATGGAAGGTGGGGCCTGGCTTGGCGGCTCTGCACCTGTGCAGCCGTGCCTGAGGCTGGCCCACGGCTTCGCCTGGCAGCTTGGGGCCCGGGCAGGGCTCTGTGAAACGCCGTGTATGACCGACGGATGTGCAGATGAGTGCGTGGCCGTCTGTGACTCACCTGTGCCCCCAGTGCAGGAACAGGTGGGCTGGGACCACCTGGGCTCAAGCTCATGGTCTGTTTCCCTGGGCTTTTTCTGAGGTGCAGCTGCCAGGTTTTGTAAAGCTGTTTGTTTTTATTGCACATCATATAAAACCAACTGCACTGGATTTGAGACAAGGGCGTTCTCAAGGACCGGAGACCCAGCCTCCTCTCGCCTTCGCCTGCCGGTAGGGTACGTGCTTGCCTTGGGGGCTCGGTGGTGCTGGTGCCAATGACCGGGCCAGGAGGGCTGGGCCCTGGTCGTGTGGTGCAGGGAACTGAGGCCACGTGGTTTGCTGGTGGTGGCTGTGCTGAGAAGGAAGCCAGGTCCCTGCCAGCTGGCCTCCAGCTCAGGATGGACTCGTGGGGCAGCTGGGCCTGGGCCTGGGCCTGGGCCTGGGGGATGCAGGGGGCAGATGGGGCAGGATCAAGCCTCGCCCCGCCACCTGGTGCCGCCCAGGCCCCCAGAATCCATGAGGCCCCCGGGAACAAGAGGAGACGTGGAAGCACCGACAGGCAGGGGCGGGCCTCCATCCAGCCGTGACGTGCTCCAGTTCCAGCGCAGGAGGCAGGGCTGCGCCCGTCGTTCCACAGGCCCCAGCCGAGACGGAGGAGCCTGGTGACCGGGCACCCTGCAGCCTCCCACAGGCGGTCTGGGGGCTGTGACACGGGTGCAGGGCGCACACCTGGAGGGTGGGGTCCAGGTGGGGGCGTCACTTCTGCCCCCCTTTCTTCCTGCCCACGCCCCGCAGCCTCTTCCCCCTGAGCTTCTCCTTCCGGGCCGCGGCGGTGGTGAAGGTGACGCAGTGGGTGTCCAGGAAGTCCAGCAGCTTGCCCGCAGCCACGCGGATGCCGTTCTGCCTCAGGGCAGCCTGCAGCTCGGCCAGCTCCAAGGGCTGGTACAGCAGCACCTTCTGGTACAGCGCCGGCGTGGAGCGGATGTAGCGCCTCACCGCCTCCTCCACGGCTGCTGCGGGGACGGCCGCCTGGGAGGCGCTGACGCCGTCCTCCTCTTCACCTGCCGACTCGAAGGCCGCTCCGAACTCTGCGGAGGAAGAGCTGGGGAGAGCGACGCGGCCTGTGACACCTCCTGCAGCCCGAGACGAGCCCCTCTGAGGGAAGGGGTGGGTTCCCACGGGCCCTGGGCAGCCTGGCACACGGCAGGAAAGTGCAGGTGTGGGGGGCGTGGGGCCGGGAGCTCTGCGGGGCTGCTCCGGGGGGCCTGGAGGGAGCGAAGGTAACGGGGGCTTCCTGATCGCCCAGACCCACTGCCCCGCCACTTCCATCTGGTTACCTCTGTGAGCTGAAGGAGCTGTCACTGCTGTCCACAGAGGTAGCCACGGATTCCTGGGAGGCTGGGAGACGAGCGTCACCATCAGGGCCTGGAGAGGCCTCGGGGGCTGGTGGTCTGCCAGGGGCTGGGAGGCCCCCACTGGGCTGCGGCGTCCCATGCTGGGGGCCCTTGGCCCTTTGTGGCCTGGGGCCCGGGGCGGCCTCCAGCTGGGTGCAGCCTCCCGCCCTGGAAGTCTCGGAGGTCTCGGCGTTGTAGGTCTGACTGCAGGGTGCCTCCCGGGACACCTGTGAGGGCGGGATCTCGTCCTCCGAGTCCGACTCCAGGGTCTGGTGAGTGTACTGGAAGATCTCCTTCAGTTTCAGAACCATCTGGCGTTTGGGCAGAGGGCGGACTCCGAACCTGAATGAGAGAGCAGGTGAGCATCAGGACTCCGCAGCCGGCACTACCTCCTCGTCCTAGCCAAGAGCGGTTACCAGCACATTCAGTGACGCGCTGTGTGGCTGAAGCACGGTGCGACGCTAGAAAGCGTTCAGAGGTTAGTTAGTATCTGTGCTGTGCACCGACTGAGCACGGAGAGCTGACGCGGCTCACGGCAGGGGACTCCACAGGCCTGCAGACCACAGGGAGCGTGCGCACTGGGTACGCGGAAGGCCTTCCTGGGGCCCAGTGCGCAGGGAGGCCGGGAAGCTCAGCCACCCCTTTCCCTTGAAGAGCAGATTAAAGAACCTCTGCCAAGCCCAGGGCCAGCTGCGTCCCCCAGACCTGAGGCGACCACACGGTGCCGCTCCGCTTCCAGGGCTGCCCAGCCTGGCTACGCGGGAGGGACTCTGAGGAGCAGCACTGACCTGTCCAGCTCTTTCTTCAGCACCGGCGTCTCCAGGATGGAGTACCTTGGCATTGGCGTTATGGGCACTTTGGGGGGCAAGTTCTTCCTCCGATGAGCACCTTCGGGCAAGACAAAAGCAGCACCCACTTCAACACGAGGGATCCGGACTAACCGCTCTGATCCCGGCGGTGCCGCCAAGAGAAGTCAGCGCGTGGAGACGACACCACCACGACGTTGCTCCACGAGAGCATGAATGAGCGCCGTGCTCAGTGTTTGGAAGTGAGGTGCCGCCTCGGAAGCAGCCCACGGTGCACGCCCCGCCTGGTAGTGCCGGTGCCGCGTGAGTGGTGTTCCTGGAGCTGGGCAGCCCCACACACAGCCACACGTAAACAAACTTAAAAATGCTTCAGCATGCCGCGGCAACCGGAGACAGATGTGCTTCCAGCAGGCAGACATCAGTATTATTTTTATAATTCAACTATTTAAAAATTCCCAATTAAAAACAGGCAAAGGACCTCAACATGCGCTTCAAAGAACATACACAGGGGTTGGTGCCGTGGGGCGGCGCCAGAGTCCCACACGGGCACTGACTGAAGTCCCAGCTGCCGTTGCTCGTGACCCAAGTATGTGGCTCTCTGCACCAGTGTGGGAGACACAGAGTTCTTGGATTCTGGCTTCAACCTGGCACAGCCCTGGCTGTTGTGGCCATGTGCGGAGTGAACCAGCGAATCAAAAATCTGTCTCTTTCTCTGGGACTCTGCCTTTTCTTAAAAACAAACAAACAAAAGCCACAGACACATCGAAGACAAACCACAGATGCCACCTCCTACCCGGGACACTCTTGTGAGGATGGAGGAACTGGGGCCCTCCCACACGCTGGGGGGATGTAACGTGGTGCAGCCACCTTGGGCAACAGCTGGTTCCTCAGAGAGTGACCCTGCGGGTCCGCTCCCGATGAGCACTCACATGCCTCACGCAGCCAGGACTGCGAAGGGTGGGTGGAAGAGCAGAGGCGTCCGGGCGTGAAGCTCGAACCTCAGGCTCGGAGAAGGACGCCAGAGACCCCAGACTCGGTGGCTCGGTTTGGGAGTCTATGCCGGCAGATCCAGAGGTGGAGAGCGGGTGCGTGAGGAAAAGGTCTGGGACCAGTGGTGGCGGTCGCACACCTCGTGAACGCAGTGACAGCCACTGAACTGCGCACCTTAGAAAGTGAACTCTGGTGTGCGCATCCCTCAGTCAAGCTGAGGTAACGCAAGCATCGTTTTGATGACTGGGACACATCAGGACCGGCAGCCTCTCTCTGACCACAGAGCCCCGTGAGACCAGGGGCGTCTCCATTCCTCCTGTCCCTTCACGGCCCAGTGCCCGCGTCTCCCGCCCGCCGCAGGGTTCTCATAGCACCCCTGGGAACCGGTGAGAAATGCAAATTCTGGGTCGCCTTGGGTCCTCCAGAGGCAACGCTGTGGGGTGGGCTGCCAGGTGGACTGAAGAAGCCGCGGAAGGTGGAGGGCACGTCAGAGGCCTGCTCCCCCTGGGATCTCGGGAGGCGTGAAGCACTGGGCTGCAGGCTCCAGCAGCTTCTGCCATGGCAGCAGCGACTCACGGATTTGAGTCCCCCGTGACGGGCATGTGCAGCCCCTGCACCTCACTGCCCACAGCTGCCCCACCTGCCTTTCTCGCTGAGCTGAAGGGCAGTCACAGCACTGGGCAGCCAGCCCTCCACCAGCTCCCCATTGCTCCTCTCCCCAGCCCCTGGAGCCACGCGTCCCCCTGGACGTGCGTCTGCACGGAGTCAGCTGTGACCTCCTCTGCCTGCTTTCTCCTCTCCCGCGCGGCGGGCTGCTTCCTAGGTTCAGCCACGCAGGAGCCCAAGTCAGCCTGTTCCTCTTCATGGCTGGACGTCCCTTTCCCCACCGCGGCCGTCCACCCGGCCTTCTCGGCTCTTAGTGGTAAGTGCTGGCTTTACCCTGCTGTGGACGTCTCGGTGGGTGGGAAGGCTGACTCTGCCTGATCCTAGGCACAGCTGACGTGCCTGCTACAAAGAGCTTTCACTTCGGGGTGCTGCTTCGTCATTCTGGAGAGGGGCTCGCCAATCTGCATGCCTGGGGGTGTGGGGACCCAGGCCCGTTCAGGGGACACTGCCCTGCAGCTGAGTGGAGTTTTCAGTCGGGGTCTCCACACCCCCTCAGTGTACAGAGTGGAAAGCCCAGACGCACCCCATCCCGGCACTCACCTGGTGTCGCCGATGCGCCTGACCTCTCAGTGCCATCGGCCCCTGGGGTCTGGGCTGTGGGAGGAGCTTCCAGCGACTTTTCTCTGCCATCCCAGTCGTCCCACAGAGCTGAATTCAGAAAGCTCAGTCTTTCGCTCCCTGGGGAGCCGGCCTGTGAGGACGACTCTGGGGACTTTCTGCCTCGGGTGGGGGTAGCACCACTGTCTGGGGACTTCTGGGTCCTGCTGCAGGGACTGCTGGTGCCCAGGGGGCCTGTCCGCTCGAGGTTCAGGTCGTCAATTGGGATCGGTGAGAGGGGCTCAGGGTGCCAGCAGCAGCTGTCCGCTGGCCCTGGGGGGTCACTGTCCGGCAGGGGGCTGCTGTTTGCCGGAAGGGAGGCGGCCTCCTGCTCCCCTTCGCTGTCCTCAACTTCCACCACTTCGCTGGCCGCAGCCGCAGGGGGCTGGCCCGGCCTGGGTGGTGAGCGTTCTGGGAACTGCCAGGTGAAATCGGGGAGGCCTCTTGGAATGGCACGAGGGGCCAGTGGAGAGGAGCGCTTGGGGCGCCTGGGCTGAGGCCGGGGCGGGCTCCGACAGCCCCGCCTGCCACTGTCGGGAGCCCCCGGAGTGACGGGAGCACGGCTGGCGGGTGGCGTCTGGGGCACGATCACAGACCACTCCTGTGCGGCCCCTTTCGCCGCCCTGTTCTCTGAAGCCCGGGGGGCGTGCCCAGTCTTCTCAGCCACGGGGGTCCTGGGCCTGAGGCTCAGGATTTGGGTCTGGGATGAGCAGTCGCGGCTCCTGCTGGCCAGGGGGGTGGCGGGCACCAGCCAGGATGAGGTGTCCGTGGTGCTGTCCTCATCAGGGGTGCTCTCGTGGTCACAGGACAGCCAGGGGGTCCCCCTGCTGTGCCCAGGGCCCCGATTCTCTGACAGCACCTCCTCCCCCTGCCGCAGCCCAGTTCCTCTTCTCGGTGGGCTTTGGGAATGTTCCAGATCTGCGTCCACATCGATCACGGGAAACAGCTCCGAGGACCTGGGGCTGATTCCCGACAGCTCCCTTTCTCCTGGGGGGTCAGAAGCCGGCCTGATCTTGGCTTGTTCCGGCTCCGGCTCTTCATCTGAATCTGATAAAAGGATAATCTCATCCCCCTTGCTCCTGGAGGGAGGACTCTGGGACTGGCAGCTGGAACCCTCGGGCTCTGTCTGGGTGAGGTCAATGGATGCCGACGCGGCCGGGGTAGCCGGGGCAGCAGGGGCCCCCGCGGTTCTGGGTTCCAGCCTGGGACTGCAGGCGTCGCCTCTCCGCAGGCCTGGCTCGGTCAGCGCCATGAGGACGCTGCAGGACCTCTTCTGCCTAGAGCATGCCCGTGGTGATGGCGAGCGTGGGGAGGCCGCTTCAGACAGCCTGCTGTGCGCCAGGCCGGATAGCGGGCCTGTGTGCTGAGCGTGAAGCTGCGAGTGGCCAGGACTCCCAACGACTGGGGGCTGCGGCGGGGGGCAGCTGAGATGGGGGTGGGGAGCCTGCTGGGGAGTGGGGGGGTGGGAAAGCTCCCCCTCCCGCCCCCGGATAGTGCTCTCTCGCTCCTTGTGGTCACTCGCTGCCTGGGACGGTTGTAAGAGCCCTCCTTGAGTTGGTGCCAGCAGCGGTTCCTCACTGTGGATACGGACCGAGTGCAAGGAACCTTCTCCCCTTGCCCAGCAGGCCCCAGAAGGGGTGGGGGAGCTGGAGTGACCGCCTGTGTCCTCTGGTGCCTCTTGCTCCTGGGTCCCTGCCTCGCTGTCCACGGCTGAGCGCTGGCCCTGTGGGGGCAGAACGCGCGGCCTCACGCTCTCCCTGCGGGGTGAGGCTGTGGCTCTCCCAGGCCCTGCCAGCTCCGTTTGCTCTGCCTTTTCCAGCTCGTCATTGCGCGGGATGCGTGCCAGGACCTGCCCAGGCCCTGGACCGTCCTCGGGGAGCTGGTCAGCATCCTCCACGTCTGGGACTGCTGCCCCCTGGAGAAGCCTTCGCTGAGTAGCTGCGAATTCATAAATCTCCTGCATTTCTGTTTCATTCACCTCTTCTCTGTCTTCTTCCTGGCCCTCGGACTTCGACAGAGCCTCTGCCTCCTCCTCCTCATCCACCCACACCGACCTCAGCAGCTCCTGGAAACTCTCCAGTCTGCTCTCACACTTCTCTCCTTCCTTCTCCGCCTGGCGCTCCTCCTCCACGTCCACGCCGGCAGACGCCTGCTGGCACAGCTGCATGAGGTCACTCACGCCGAACCTGTAGCAGGGAACACAGGCGGTCAGGCCCCTCTGCACAGAGCCCCCCCCCCCCCCCAGTGTTGTGACCTGGGGAGGGGGGCAGAGCAGAGCCTTCCTGAGAAGCCACAGCCGGGGCTCGGCCTGGCCTCTCCCTGCTCTCCTGGGAAGATGGTGTCCAGGCGCCTGCCCAGGAGTACCCAGGGTCCCTTGGCTCTAGCAACCGGAGACCCACGCCACCTTCAGGCACATCCGGTCACTGCGGCCTCAGACACGAAGCCGTGCAGCAGGCCGTCTGTGACAGGAAACAAAGGGACTCTAAACCCAGAGGGCACGTGCTGCTTGAGGCCCTGGGGCGCTGTGCCCGGTACCAGCCTGGCAGGCTACACCTGCGGGCGGCCGGGCACCTGCTCACAGGCTCTGTGGCTGAGCGCCTCCTTTCCCGAGGCTCTGGCTGACAAGGCTTTGTGCTAAAAGCCCTCGGGCCTTATCGTGGGGAGAGGCCTCTTCTTGGCTGAGCTCTACTGAGCTAACCTTTATCTCTCTCAAAACCCTGGAGTGTGGACAAAGCCAGGGTGGCTGGCAAGCGTGGGATGGAGACCACGCACGTCCCCCATGTCCACTCGTGGGGATCTAGAAGAGGGCTGCTGTGTCCAGCTCCCCCGTGGAAGGACAGTTAAGGTGCAGCAGCATTTGTGGGGTCCTGAGGCAGGGGGCCTCTCCCTTCGCCACCTGGGAGCTGAAGCGCGCAGGATCCAGCACCCCTGCAACAGTGTATTCCGGCTGGACTTGGAGGTAGCAGGCCCTGTTCAGGACCGTCACTGGTCACAAACTTGGGAGTGAAGTATTACGGGCTGGCATTACGGCACAGGTTAAGCCACCATCTGTGTCGCCGGCACCCCTGATTGGAGTGCCAGCTGCTCCACTGCTGACGGAGCTCCCTGCTCATGCGCCCGGGGAAGCAGTGGAGGGCGGCCCACGTGCTTGGACTCCTGCCAGCATGTGGGACACGAGGATGGAGCTCCTGGCTCCTGGCTCCAGCCTGGCCCAGCTCTGGCTGTTGCAGCCATCTGGGGAGTGAGCCGGCAGATGGAAGAGCTCTCTGTCACTCTGCCTTCCAAATAAATAAATCTCTTAAAAAACAAAAATAGTATGAACAGGACTCAAAGTTCCGAAGGAAGGCCTCAGCCTGACCCTCGACCTGCGGACCTGAGGCTGTGGGGTACAGTGGAAGGACAGTGGACCTGAGGGCCAGGGCATGTAGGTCAGGGGCCAGGCGGGGAGGCAGGCTGCTGTCCGCTGTGTAGAGGTACTGCAGGAACGCACGGACCGCCTTGGCGCTCACGTCACTCAGCAGGACGCGCTGGCTCCGATCCCCGTCTTCCACAGCGCAGAAGCCTTCGTTGTTCACCTGAGCGGGGGCGGTAAGGTGCAGTGAGCCTTCTGGTCAGGTGGCCATCACCTGGAGTGGATCCTGGGAGTCTGCAGCCTCGTGGACAGCTCCACACCCCAGGAGAAGCGTGCCCACGGCTGGGGCATTTTATTGGCCAGGAATTGAGTGGGGTGGGTCATAACAAGCCTCTGTCTAAAGAATCTTTTTAGCAATGTCTGTTCAAGAGCCCAGCTAGTTGCCTCTTGATAGACACAGCAAGAGCTCTAGAACTTTCTGACACACAGCAGGGCACTGGATTCCTGCTGATGTTGAAGTCCAGCACCTGTTAGAACGTGTTGGAGCAGAAGGCTGAGAACATCGGCAACTCTTATGGGGCTGGGTGTGTGTGTGTGTGTGTGTGTGTGTGTGTGTGGCGGCACAGGCATTTGGTGCAGCAGTCTAAACATCTGCATCCCTGAGACAGAGTCCCATCTCTGCTCCTGACTCCAGCTTCCTACCAACGTGCACACTGGGAGGCACGGTGGAGGCTCAAGTACTGGACTCCCTACCACCCGCGTGGGAGATCCGGCTTGAGCTCCAGCCTCCTGGCTCTGGCCTGGCTCAGCCCTAGCTACTGCAGGCATTTGGAGTAAGAAAGAGGATGGAAGATTCTCTCTCTCTCTCTCTCTCTCTCTCTCTGCCTTCCTAAATTTAAAAATTAAAAACAGGTAAGAAAAAAAGGTCAGTTTGGAACTCTGCAATTATGCAAATTGAAAAAAGAGGAAACCGTTCTGGGGACAGCGCCTTGGCCTCGATTCCGCAGCACAGAGCATGTCGGCCGCGCTGAGGCCACTCCTCACGCGGCAGCTAGCCTGACGTGCCTCTCTGTCCTCTCCAGACGGGACCCTGACAGCAACAGAGCAAAGACGCTCCCGTGCAGGGCGGAAGGGGCAGGAGCGGGGGAGCTGCCCGATGGCCGGTACTCACATGCTGAATGAGAAGTGGACATCGGGCGTAAAGCACAAACTTGTGGGCATAGAGCACCTCGCCGCTGTCCACCTGGAACTGGACGTCGCTCAGGTGCGGGTTGTTGACCATGGCGCTGAAGTCGGCAACCAGCAGCCCGATGGAGAGCTGAAGTGAGAGGCACAGCTGTCAGCACTGTCACCGTCTCGCGCTACTGCCACTCTGCTGACTGAGCAGCATGGGGCGCCCCTGCTCAGGAGGGGGATGGGCTGTGCCGGGCTCTGCTTTGTATCACCGCAGGCAGCTGCAGTCGGGCAGTGAGGACACCAGCCCGGGTCTCAGATGCCCAGGCAGGGACCGGCCGGTGGGGAGAGGCAGCACAGCCCTGACAAGGACGAGCAGGCGGCATCCGTGGTTCTGGAGCGCGGGGTGAGCTACGCGTGCTGTAGGCCCAGTGCTCAGAGCAGCTTGGTGTGCTGGACCCAGGCCCCGCGTTCCAGCACTTCAGGGCCCACTGTCCACTGTGCACGTCGGTGCCATCGCCCTGGCCCTGGTGTGGCAGTGTGGCTGAGGCCGGGATCCTCTGGGGATGCTGTCTACTCTCGGGAAAACCCAAGTGCTACCCCACTGGTCACCAACACAGGACGAGGGACCGTGGTAGGAGCCGAGCGCGGCCCCGGGGCCACACGGGAGGGTTGCCGTAAGTTGCTACGGCAGGAGCACGCAGAGCACACAGCGGAACGAGGGCCCCGCACAGAGAAGAGCGGCCCCCGGACTCCCACGACTACGCAGGCTTGGGGGTTCAGCCACTGCGGGCGCCCGCCGTGTTCCGAGACAAGCAACAAACAAGCCTTCACAGCAGGGCCCGGGGGCAGCCGGGCGGGGGGGGGCTGCCGAGTCCGCCTGCTGGGAAGCAGAGCTGCTCCGTGACGCCAGTGGAAGTGGGGAGGCCCTGGGGACAGCAGGGAGTGGAGCTCCCCACAGCGGTCACAGCGCCAGGGAGGGGCTCACGTGGGAGACCCCCAGTCCTTACCGAAGCGTGGTCGCCCCGCTCCAGGTGCTTCTCCTTAGGCAGGACAAAGCCGGTCGGCGGGAGGCCGCGGGGCACCACATCCAGCCCTGAGAGGGGGTGGAGGTTGAGATAACGTCACGTCACCCTGACAATGTCGGCATCCAGCCGGCGGCACCCACCACAGGCCAGGCTGGACCCAAGATGCCTTGGGAGGAGCTGGCTGAGGACATGGCCATTTAAAGCAAGCCCCTGCCGCCGCCATTGCTACCACCGCCCCTCGCCGGAGGTTACAAGGATCACTCACCTGGGCAGCCAGCTCCGTCTTGGCCTAAAGTTGAAGGAAAATCGTGACAGACTTGTGTGTGCCACAGTCACCTCCGAGCAAAGCAAAAGCTGCTGGGCGCTGCACGTGCTCCTGCAGCAGGGGACACGCTGCCGAGCCTCGGGGCTTACACGAAGGCGCCCCCTTCCCTCCTGCGGCCCACCCAGTGTCTCACCTGTGGCCCCACCGGAGCTGGCCAGGTCCTCACTGCTGGGCCTCGGGCTGGCACTCAGCCCCTCCCGTGCCAGGTCCACGAGGTCCTGCAGGGCCTGGTGCTCCCTCTGGCTGGCCGATGACGACAGGTCCCCGGGGCTGCTGGGGAGAGCAGGTGGCCCCTCCAGACCTGACTCTGGCTGCTCAGGAGGCCTCGTAGGTCGTGGAGGCTCCTGGGTCAGGCCCTGCAAGAAGCGCGCAAGCCAGGGTAAGCACGTGGCTGCTGTCAGACACTGGCACGCAGCAGCCTCTACACATGCGCACGGCCAGACCCAGACTGCAGAGTGGGACCGGAAGTGTCCGTCACTGAGTAGCGACAGGCTGCTCTGAGTGGCCCATCCGTGCCTGTGGACAGCCAGGGGACCCCAGGAAGGCGAGAACTGACTCAGAGCCACCCGCGCGACTGTCTGGAACATGTATGCAGAATGTGGTTCCTGGGCGCCTGCTGTGATGACGCCAGCCCCACGGGAGTAGGGCCTGGGACTCGGTGTCCTAAACACTCTCGGGGAAGCCGAGGCTCTGCCCTGTCCTCACCCGCAGAGCCGTGTGGCTGCCACAGAGAGCGCCTCAGCTGAGCCCTGCCCCCCACCGCTCATGCTGTCTGTGGCCCGGCGCTGGTGTCGGAGCTGCAGCTCTGTCCGCAGAGCCCGTGCGCGTGTGTCTGGAGGAGCAGGGCTCACCTCGGCAGGCCGCTGGGGCACGATGGGAGGGACGAGGCTGGCCGTGTAGAAGGCGTCCACGGCCCAGGCTCCGGTCAGGGCGCTGCCCTCCCACAGGGAGTTCTGCTTCCCTTCCGGCGGCTGCAGGCACCAGCCTGCCTTTCTCAGCTTTTCCTTCAGAATCCTGCTGGCGGGAAGCGGCGGCGTGCGGGACAGCGGCGCCTCCTCTGACAGCAGCAGGGCCACGCGGTCCTCTATCTGCCTGCCTGTGGTCGCGCGGTCCTGGACGAGCAACTGCGGGGGGGACACCGGGGGCTTCCTCTTGCGACCTTTCTTCTCTAGAGACACACGGAAGCGACGCGGTCAGCCGTGGACTCAGCAACAAGCTGCGTAAGCCACGCTCCGGCCACACCTACCTGCTCCCCCACACCCACCTCTCCTCTCGGAGAAAGCACTCCGCAGTCTGAGCGCAGGCATGGCAGGGCCCTGCTCCATCTCGGAGCGGGACAGAGCCATGGCCACCAGCAGGTCCTCGGACGGTGCCTCGGGCGGGTCGGCCTTCCTTCTCTTCTGGGGCTCCTTCTTGTTCAAGGTTCCTTTCCGTTTCACACCTCCAGTGGGGCTGCTAAAGCTAAAAGACAGCCCAAGGGAAGTTAGTCACGGCCACGGGTGCCCACATTTGTGAGGCCGGGGGCTGCTCTCCTTTGTGGGGGTGAGAGAAAAGGGATGAACGGGGACCCTTCAGACAGAGGCATCCACTGCCTTGGCCTTCAGTGAGCTGATTCTGCCGTCTGTGAGCTCTCTGACGCAGGCCGAGGGTTCAGCCAGTCCAGACAGGACAGGGTCTTTCCATGTGGTACTGCCCAGCAGGTTCCCGGCACAGGTACTGCACACCCCAGGGGTGGCCAGACCTGGTGGAGTCAACACTTCCTGGCTCCAAGCTGGCTCGCGGGACCTGCCATCACCTTCTGCCCATTCATGCCTCAGGTGCCCAGGGCCAGTCCTGAATTTAGCGCAAGTCCTACCGTTCCAGTGTGCTTGTGCTAAATGCAGCACAGGAACCCAGCGCAGCTCTTCTGTGTGAGGCCTGAAGGCAGGCGGGAGCCGCGTGCAGCCTGGGGGAGCACGGGGGTGGCATCCCGGGCAGGGGAAGGAGCCGGGCAGGGGCGAGGTGAGCCAAGCCCGCCCCGCCCCGCCCCTCCCCGCAGCTGTCCTGGGCCTCCAGTTCTCATGGAAGCTCATGCTGGCTGCCAGAGCACGGACGGCTTGAGATTCTCAGACACTGCTCGCAGGGTCTGAGTGAGCCCCAGGAAGCCGGTATGATGACCACGGCCTCCGAGAAGGGATGGAGCCGCCCATCAGCCCTGGTCCCTGTATGATGGCTGCATCTCGGCACTCGCCAGGCAGGACGGGAGGAGCAAGGGGCGAGTGGGTGCCCTGACCAGCACCTTCTCCCATGGGGAATTCTGACCACCCCAGAGTTCCAGACTCCCACGGCTTGGCCTCGGGAGAGGAGGTGCAGAGTCCCGGGAAGAAGCCGATTCCTGTTAGCTGTCTACTCTGCCAACCCAGGACTCGTGCACGTGGAATCCCAGCACTTGGAGGTAAGTTCAAAGCAGAGCCATTGAACCTGAGCAGGCAGCTGTGTGGTCCCGCCAAGAGGCAAGTGAGAGCTTAGACGACGTCTATTTAAGGCCTCAAGGCTTCCAGTCCTCCTGTTCGAGCGTGCCTGTGCTAAACAGACAGCTCCTTGGGAGGAGCCCCCACCTCTGCCCTCTGCAGTCCCAGCCCAGCTCAGCAGCCCACAAACCACGTGCAAGGCTGTGGCCAGGAAACACAGCCAGCAGCCTCGGCCTTGTCTTGGCTGCCGACGGCTGTCAAGGGAAAAGAAGCCTGGACCTGGGCCCTGGCAGCTGATGCTTCCGTACAGCTGGGGTGGGCGTGGGGCAGCGTGTGTCGGGACGACACCTCAGCCACTGTGCACCTGTGGTTTGCATGCCGAGGGCTCACTTCCCCACTGTCATGGCCTCTGCTATTTTAACACTCATCCTTAATTCATGCAAATTTTCCAAAAAGGGGCTTGTGGGTAAGCCTCAGCAACTCTGAACTGTGCTGAATAATCCTACATTAAGAGAATACAAGTCAGACCGCACTGAGATGAAACCATGGTGCAGAAGAAGTGGCTGAGCCGCAGTGAACACCAGCTGCTGAGATGCTTGGGGGCACCGAGTGCAGGCCTGGGGGCTGCCGCTGCCGCGGGGGCATGCCGGGGAGCCCAGCCACGCCCCTCTGCGGACACACCTGGCTCCCGGGTGCAGCATCTGTCTCCACCTGAAGCCCTTCCAGACTCTGCCAGATGTGCTCCGCAAACATTTGCTTTCCAGAGTCAGAGAGGCCTCTGCTTGACCTGTCTCTCCCAGGCGACTCACCTGGGTGTGGGCGGGTGTCCTCCGCCCTCGGGCTGGGCTGTCTGCAGCCGCACGGCCTGCAGCAGGAGCTGGGGGCCCACCTCCATCTTCGCTGCGCACTGCTTCAAGTGGCTCGCTCTGCTCTTTGAGGTGAGAAAAGCTTTGCCACAGATGGGGCACTCGGGGATCTGAGGTGCAGGTGGTCGGAGTGCCTTTTCCGCCTCGTCTAAGCACCTGCAGAGAGACCGTGGGTGTACGTTAGCGTGGACGTGCTGTGGCTAGAGCACGTTCCCCAGGGCCAGCGTCCTCCCCCCGGCACCACGTGCTACGGTTAGATGTCTGCTAGCAAGGGCGGTTACAGAAGGCTGAGACACAGACACCAAAATTCCCATACGTCCCAGGGACCCCGTGCCAAAATACTTCTCCAAAAGATCTGAAAGCAGGCCCCCAAATACATGAAACACGAGTCCAGAGGCCAGCACGCGGCGTGTGAGCTAAGCCTCTGCCTGCACTACCAGCATCCCATCAGAGTGCGGTTTCAGTCCCGGCTGCTCCACTCCCAGTACAGCTCTCTGCTGGTGGGCCTGCGAAGGCAGCAGCAGATGGCCCAAGTACATGGGCCCCTGCACCCACGTGCGGGGCACAGATGAAGTTCCAGGCTCCTGGCTTCCGCCTGGCCCAGCCAGTCGTTGTGGCCATTTGGGGAGTGAACTGGCAATGGAAGAGCTCTTCTCCCTCTCTGTTTCTGTCACTCTACCTTCCAAATAAATCTTAAGCAAAGGAAAATGCCCAGAGCAGCTCAGAAACAACCGCCAGCGGTCCACAGTGGCTGAGAAGAAATGATCTGTGCGCACCGCGGGGTGCTGAGCCACAGAAAGGAATGCAGTGCAGTCACGTGGCCCACGTTCTGTGGTCAAGAGTGGAGCGCGTACACAACCTGGTCCTGTGGGACTGCACTGCCCAGGCGTGTCTTGGGTACCTGGTTTGTTTAAGGACACTGTGATGTTATAGTTCCCATCGTGGGGAAACCATAGGTAACTGTACCGATACGCACTGCGTGGATGAACTTCCAAACCATGATTCTAGGCGGACAGACACAAGAGGACAAGGACTGTACGAGTCCACTTATGTCAGGTGTCCAGAGCAGGCAGAGCCACACAGACAGGAAGTTGACTTTTGGCTGTGAGGGGAGGGAGGGAGCAACAGGGAGTGACTATTAAAGGGCTGGCATTTCTCCGGGAGTGATGAGAATAATCCAAAATTGACTGTGATGATGGGGGCTCAACTCCGCAAATACGCCAAAAGCTGCTGAATGGTACCTCCACATGGGTCAAGTGTGGAGTATGTGAATTCTCTCTCAATGAAGTATTTTTACAGAGGACAGGCTGACAAGATTGAGGTGCTGATGGGGCATCTCAAGGTTCCCGCTGGAGCCTGGGGGTACCCTGGTCCTGGCCACAAGCACGGGCGAAGGGACTGACCGTCGGCACCGCTCCCACCTGTTCACGTGCTGCTCCCGCCGGGCCACACTCATCATCGAGAGGTTCTTCTGACAGATCTGGCAGAAGAACAAGCCCTTCTCCTCCAGGTCGTCGCCACGTGCAGACGCTGCTTCCTGCCCAAACTCGTGCTGCAGGGCCAGGGCCACCGTGGCGTCATTGTCTGTGGCAGAGAGCACAGGCTCACACCCTGTGGGGAAACAGAGAGCCCTGAGGGGCAGCTCCAGAGCCACACCCTCCTGCGCCTGCAGTGGGTCACTGGGCACCCGCACCACGTGGTGAGAAAAAACCCGGAGCTGGCACGCCCAGCTCCTGCAGCGGCTCTTCTCACACTGTACTGTGCATACGCAGTGGAGCCTGTGAAGGCGTGGTTTGGATTCCGGAGGTCCCACTGCAGCCTGGGACGCTGTGTTTCTAACAGCTCCTGGACGTGACAGCAGTGCTGGCGGCCCAGGGCCACTGAGCGTCAAGGGCTTTCCCCCCTTCTGCTCTCTGCCAGTGCAGCCCCACCAAGGTTTCCATGAGAGGTGAGGACCCATGTTGCTTAGGGGACCAAGAACAGGACACCTTGACATCGTGTGCCTTCTGGGGTGCCCCAGCACGAAGCACACGGCGCCAGGGAGGTGCTGCTGCTGGGGGTTTCGCCTGCAGCCAGTCAGACCTCTCATGTCCGTACCGTCTACCTGCAATACTAGGGCTACAGGCAGGCGCTAAATGATACAAGGAAATAATAAAACAAATCCGGAAAGTGGGAAATCTTGAAGGCAGCTAGCCTGGGCTCTTCAAAAAATGTCAGAGGGGTGGGAGAACTGTCCTAGAACCTCAACCTTGAGAGACTAATGAGCTGTGTAAAATGCAGTGTGTAAGCTTATATTAAGTCCTTGTTTAAAAAAGAAAAAAAAGGGGGGCTGGGGCTGTGGTGCAGCAGATTAAAAGCCCTGGCCCGAAGTGCCGGCATCCCATATGGGTGCTGGTTCGAGTCTTGGCTGTTCCACTTCCAATCCAGCTCTCTGCTGTGGCCTGGGAAAGCAGTAGAGGATGGCCCAAGTTCTTGGGCCCTTGCACCTGCATGGGAGACCTGGAAGAAGCTCCTGGCTCCAGATCGGCACAGCTCTGGCCGCTGCGGCCATGTGGGGAGTGAACCAGTGGATGGAAGACCTCTCTCTCTGTCTCTACCTCTCTGTAACTCTGTCTTTCAAATTAAAAAAAAAAAAAAAAGAAACCAGCTACAAAAGATCCTTTGGGACCATTGGGGAAATGTGTGTATATGCTGAACGCCAGGCTATATTAATGGAATTAGGCATGAAACTGGTATTGGGGTTAGGCAGGAGAATCCTGCGAGTGATGGCATGATGCCTGTAATGTTCGAAGGACACAGACATGAAAGATGTCTGGTGAGACTATCTGGAACTGTTTTTTGGGTTCAGCCTGCTGCCTGACTTCAGAGTCACAAATAAAGCCAATTAAGAAGTGCAAAACTAAAATTTGAAAAAAAAAAAGCCACCTTAGAGAATTCATTTACATTTTAAAAATGATTCTTTAAGGGAAAATTTTCATAATAAAATAGTTTTGAAAGAAAGCTAAACCTTTGTCAAGGAAGCCACAGGTGACCCTCCACTGGCTGGATCCAAGGAGGCGGCCGGGCCGGCACCAGCAGAGCCTGCTCCCGGCAGGAACGCAGCGAGTGCCAGCTCCTTCCTGCCGGAGTTCAAACCTGCGTGTGTGGAAGACAGACGCACGCGCGTCCTACCGTTCCCGGCTGCCGTCTGCTCCCCAGGGCTCTTTGGGACGCTTCCTTCGGCTGCCGCCCCAGGAGGCCGCTCTTCCGGCTCATGCTTCAAGCGCGCGGGGTCAGCTCTCTTGAACTGCTGCATCCGCTGCAGAACCAGCTCTGCCGTGCGGGGTTTGGAGGGATTTGGCGCCGCTGTGGTCAGGCAGGGAGGAGGCGGCTGGGAATCGCCGTTGGGAACGCTCTCTGGCAAAAAAGAAAATCGTCACATACGTCTGTGGCGGCTGGAGACCTGAGACTTTCCATCAGATCCAGGCTAGACCCTAGTTTCCCAGGGATCCTTTAGGAACTAGTTCAGGTTTGACTGGTGAGGAAGCTCGCTGCTTGTGGCAGAGCACACACAGATACCAGCGACAGGAGGGGCACGAGGGGTGACAGCCTGCAGTTTATTTTTGGGGTGATGACACTGTTCTAAAATTACCTGGGGGTGGTCGCCGCACAACTGTGTGCACACACTGCAAACCACCAGCTCGACACACTGAAAGATGACTTCTGCGGCATGTGGGTATCTCGGTGTTTAATAACGAATGCTAGTGATACGTGTTCCTCTTTTTCTAGCTCAGGTCTCCTTTCACCTGGGATGCAGGTGGCCTTCCGGGCAGCCCACCAACTCCATCAAGTTGTAAGTCAGTTAGGAGGTCTGCACGGTGCAGGGCTCTGATCAGATTCACAAAGCAAGCATGAACGACCCAGAACACTCCAGCAGCGGGACTGAAGCTAAGTCCCTGTGTGCTCAGCCCTTGCCACCACTGTCCTGGGAGGTGGTGCTGTTATTTAAGACTTGGCAGTAAAGGCGAGGACACGTTAGCTACAGAATTCAGCGGCTTATGCATGGCTGGTTTCCAGTGCTGCGTGAAGAGCGCGAGCTAGCTAGACCAAAGGCGGGACCGCACAGCTGCTGCACACAAACAAGAGAGAGAAAGCCTTTTGAAGGGCTGAAAAGAAGGACCTGACCATTCTCCTAGGACCAAGCCCATAGGGTTCGTCATGCGGCTTCCTCAGAAGCTGAACCAAACGGGCTGGCCCACTCTGACTTACCTGCCTTAGAATCGGTTCAAGAAAATCAGAGAAGCTGCATTATTTTCACTCCTGTCAACCGCATGATACAAACAATCACAGGGAATTACCAAAGCGCAGAGGCCCCAAACAGTCACGTGGACAAGTCACACATATCTACTTTATCACTGTTGTTTCCAGTCCTGGGACGGGCTACCTATTTAGTAAGTAACACAAGGCCAGACCCACCCATTCACATATGACCTATGGCTGTGTCTCACTACAACAGCAGAGCTGAGTGCAGTCACCCCTCAGGACCCTTGGGACACTGACCCCAGGACACCTCCCACCCCCATCCATGGGTGCTCAAGTCTCCGTTATAAAACCGTATAGTACTTGCCTATAACCTACGTGCACCCTCCCTGTGTGCTTTAAGTCATCTCTGGGTTACGTCTAATGCCTAGTACAATGCGAACGCCATGTAAATAAGTTCACACTGCATCATGTAGGTAATAATGACAAGTCTCTGCGTGCTCAGCGGAGTCATGACTTTTTCTCCACTATGTCCCTGCCCTAGTTGGGTGGATACAGAGGGTCCACTGTAGGGGTAACACTGGATGGCCTACAGAGCCGGTGGTCACCATCTGGCCTTTTCTAGAAACGTCCCAACCCTGGATTCCTCTGGCAGGGTCGGGCAGTGGTTCTTGCTCGGTTACCTGTCTGGGTGCCCTGCGCTCTTTCCCCGAGCCCAGGCTGATGTGCAGCAGGAGCGAGCGCACGTGCCTCCCCGTTCACAGTGACGGCCAGGTCACTTGCTTGCGACTTGGTTTTCCTTGTCTTTTTAGCCCGAGGGGACAGGCTGCCAGGTGGCGGTTTCTTCTCTGCTGGGCCTGGGAGGGGTTCTGCCTTGGTGGCGTTTTGCTTGGACTTTTTCAGTTTGCTTCTTATCTGAGTGCCATTTGAGGCCTTCTGTGTCTTCTTTTCTCCTGACACCTGCTTGGTTCCATTTTTTTTCACCCTCTGGAGAAAGCTGGCGCAAAGTTCTTGAAAATCGTCGTCTGACTCATCCATTGTCTTAAGGCTCTCAGGCTGCTCTTCAGAGGAGTGAGGGTCGATCTCAGGGCAGGTCCGGAGATGAGAGAGGGACTCTCATTCACACCCACAGCTTCGCCTTGAGTTCTGCTCCTCACTGAGACACAGAGAGTCTGCACAGTCAGACAAAAAGGACGCTGCTCCTCTGCGTAATGATGCGGGTACCTTTATGGCCTGTGGCTCAGCAACACATTTCAAGCTTCCCTCTGCAAAAGGTCACAAGTCAGAGAGCGGTGTCCAAGAGATGCCTCTGAAGTAGAACACAGACGAACGGGGGGCTCACAGCGCGCTTCAAGGGGCCCACGGTGATAAAACACAGTTGGTGCATTTACCTTCACATCTGTGGAAAGCCAAACACATCTAAGCGTAACTATGCAGATCATGCCGTTTTATGGCATTTCTTCCAGGCAAGTACAGTGCACATGGAGTATGGAGTGTCGGAGTAACGATACTGCTGTCAAATACTCAGTGCAGCCTGAGTAACAACCTGACTGTCCTCCAGGACATCAACACCACAACCCAGAAGAGGAATCCAGAAACCTGCTGAAGCGCATTCTCCCACAGGCAGCACAAACATGCATCTCAGGAGAGTGCTTTTCCTGAAATGGGGGAGTAAATTCATGAGGGGCCTTCGCTGCTGAAACAGGTAATTCCCCACATCTAGGGACCTACCGCCCTGAACCCCGGCCATCAGCTGTAGAGGCTCTACCAGCGAACTGCAGCGGGAGAAACAGGAGGAAGGCAGAAGGGTGTGCCCCAACGCCCACCGAGACGCCCACTTTGCTGGGTCCGCCCAGCCTGCAGGACTGGATCACGTACTTTGACACACAGCTTAGCAGGGTTCAAACACCGAGCTCACTTCAAATCCAACAACGCAGTCCCTACTAGTATTCCACAGCTGGGCCGATGCGCCCACCTGCCCACCTAGCGACCCTCACCTTGCACGCCAGCTCCGCAGAGGAGCGGCCTGGGCCTCCTCAGCTGCTCCTCACCACTCGCTGGCCTCACAGCGGCGCCCAGACCGCAGACCCCGCGCAGCAGGTAACGTCTACGGGACGCTCACGGTGCGCCAGGCACCGTTCCAATTGCTTTCCAGGTCTGGACTCAGCCAGTCCTTACGACAGTCCTTTGTCACACTTGGTTTACTTGAGAGAGCCAGCCAGGGGCGGGATGAGAGCGGTCCGTTCCCACGGCGTTAGCAGCGGCAGGGCTGGCCTCCTTCGCCCCGTGTGCTTTGGCTGACCAGGTGCCCGACTCGCAGTAGGTGTTCGACACTACTGGGCTGCAGGCAGCGTGGCGCAATCCAGGGTGCACAGGGGGCGGCAAGGGACGGGAACGCGGGGCTAGGCTGACCGCATTTGATCCGCTGGGCGTGAGCAGCCGCCCTCCGCCCGCCTCCGACAGCTGCTCAGCCGGCGTCTGCGGACCACAGGGCGAACCCAGAGGGCAGGCGTCTTGTGCCTCCTCAGCCTCGTACCTACCCGGGCGCCCGGCTCACCGCAGGCGAGGAATGAATGAATGAATGAACTGGGGCGGGCGAACCCTCCCGCTGCCCCCAGACCGGCGACCTTCGGAAAGGCTGTCCGGACACTCCAGCAGGGAAAGGGCTGCCCCGGACTCTGAGGACCTCACAGCCAGCGGAGACCCCCGATCGCCGGAATGGCTCCGGGTCCGCCCGCCGGCGCCTCCACCGGGGCGCCGCTCCTGCCTCCGAGATGCCTCGGCCGCGGGCGGCCTAAGGCTAAGGGTTTAGGGAGGGAGGCAGGCGGGCGAGCGCCCTCGTCTCCCTCAGCACAGCGAGAGCGGCTCGCGCTGACAGGGCCTCCAGCGCAACAGTGCAGACGCCCAGCCCCGAAGCCCGGCTCCTCCTACCTCCCGCGCGCGCGCGCGCCGCCGCCGCGGTACCTTAACGGAGGGTCACGCGCTTGCGCATGCGCCGCCGGCCGCCCCCGCTCGGAGGTCTGGATGCGCAGGCGCAGAGCGGTTCCGGGGGGCGGTTCTCTTCCCGTCTTCCGGTGCGGCCCCGGCGTTTCCGGGCAGCGCGAGGAGGGCGAGGCGGAAGTGGCGTGTGGCGAGCAGTGCGGCCGCCGTCCTCCCTCGGGTACAGCTTACTGAGTGTGGAGGAAGTGGCGGCGAGAGTTGGGGGGCGCCCGCGGAGTTTTAACTTGCAGTCTGGCTCCGCCCCCATTTGTGGACTCCGGAAACGTTTGCGGGTGTAATGGCGGCCGCCTCGGAGCGCTCCCGCCTCTGGAGCGGACGGGGGTAAACCGAGCTGGAGACGGGGGTCGAGGGAACCCCAAACCCAGGCCCGGGACGCCTCCCTCCCGGGGAAGGTGGCTGAGAGCCGAGGCCTGGCGGTCGGGGGGAGAGGACCCGGGCCCGTCTCCCCGACTCCCGGGCCTGGAGGGAGTCTGGCCGCCGCGGGCCACCACGGCTGAGCGTTGAGGATCTGAGCCTCAACCCGAGGTTTCCTCAGCGTCCTTACCGTGGCGGCCGGGAACTGCGGTGACCTAGGAGAGAAGCGAGGGCGCAGGAGCAGGACGGGGTGGCGTGGTCGTGACCTGCGACCCCAGGGCGTCCCCAAGTTAGGAGCGCTGGAGAAGTGAGGGACAGAGTCGGAGCGAGGACAGTGGGTGTAGTTGTTGTGTAAGAAATAATACACATGACGTAGAAGTCAAAGTGTACGCCTTAGTGGTTTCTTCGTACTTTCGTAAGATTACGCATCCGTCATAACCTCGTAATTCCAGGACTTTTAATAACCCCAAACAGAAACAGCTGTTCCTGTAGCGGCCACCCTCACGCTCGTTCTTCTCCCAACAGTGCTGAATAATATTCCCTTGTATGCACAGGCCACATTTTATTCTGTATTTGTTGCACTTTTTGACTTTTATAAATAATGCTACTGTGGACGTACAACTTTGAGATTCAAATGCTGATGGGATTTCCAAGACGTCTTTTTGTGTGCAGGAGTTGGGAGATGGTGCTTGCCCTCTGGTTTGGAAACCTCAGTGACTTTGTGCTGTTGTGTCCAGCTGGGTTAGTTAAGTAGAACAGGAGTGGTCCTCTTCACAGCAGCAGGGGTGCGGTGGGATTTTAATTTGCAGAGGTGACAGTGATGACATGATACACATGAAAGGAGAGTGTATTACATGTCCCAAGAAATGGGAACCTGACAAACCATGCAGGGCCCAGGGTCAGGTTGTGGTCAGAGGGAAGGACTTAGGAACAAGAGGAAAAGCCTGGAACTTCCCTGGGCTTCCACAGAAAGGTCAAGCAGGGCAAAGCAAACGGGTTTTTGGCTGGTTTGAGGAATTCCCGCAGGTGGTGGGGCTCTAAGGGAGACTTCTAGTTGCCTGTCGCTTGTCCATGGGATGGATGGTTTAGGGCAGGGGAGATGTCGGCTTCCTGTGTGAGACTTGGATGCAAGGGGTAGTCAGCTTACCCGTGAGATTGAGACCATGCTCCCAAGTCAGTTGTTGATTTTCCTAGGCAGTAGCCAGCCCTGGGGTCAGCAGTCACTCCCTGCCTGCAGGAGAGTTTTAAGATACCGGGATGTCATAAGATACAGAAAAAAATTTAAATGACTAATTCACATAGATATGGCTGGGGTGACATAAAGTGAAGATAGTTTTTCTTCAGAGTGATTGGAAATGAAGTGCCTGAATCCTATTTAGGATTTAAATCTTGAGAAACCCAGTGAAGAGGGCCCTTTCTTCCTCCTCCCTCCCCACCCAAATTTTGGCTGTATTATTAAGGGGGCAGTTAGTTGAAGAACGGTTTCCTTAAACCTGAGTTGCTCAGCTGAATCACCTGTGGGATTTTTAAAATCGGAAATGCCTGGACATGACCCTTCAACCTACTGAATAAATCTTGGGATAGTAATTCCAACCTCTGTCTTCTGAAATTTTCACAGACGATTCTGAGAACTCTAGATTAAGAGCCACTCTATGTAGCCTGTGCCTACTTAGCAAATCCTGTAGGCTGAGCATAAAGAGCCGAAAGGTGGATGAGGGGCGATGGGAATTAGAAAGCAACGTAATCCTTCCCTGTGAGGAACAAAGTTCCTGTAATGGGGGCAGCCTTTCCTTTGGTCCAGGGTACACAGTGGGAGTCCCCTTGTCCTGAACCTGACCGTGAGCTCAGGGGTTCACACACTTTACTGGATTACGCAGAAGTCTTTTGTGACTGAGCTGAGGTACAGTGTCCAGAAATAGTGTTACTAGGTCCATGTTCTTTCAGTGAGAATACTACTGTATGTTTTCTGCTGCAGTGCCAGAAACACTCAAACCAGGGATGAGGGAACATTCCACATATCAAAAGGTGAGGATGTCTCTGTGTTTGGTGAACCTTACAGGCTTTCTCAGTAAAGGAAAATGGATAGAAAATCCAAAGATAGATACATGTTTTCTACTTCAAAATTTATTATAAAGCACCAATCCAAAGCCAGGAACTTCTTCCAGGTCTCACACAGGTGCAAGGGCCCAAGGACTTGGGCCATCTTCTACTGCTTTCCCAGGTCACAGCAGAGGGCTGGATCGGAAGTGGAGCAGCTGGGACTTGAACTCGCGCCCGTATGGGATGTTGGCAGTGCAGGCGGTGGCTTCCCCAGTTTTAGTTCTTGTAATTAAAGGTCTTTGATACATTCTAAATTAATTCCTGTACATGGTGTTAAGTGTCCAGTTTCATTTTCTTAACATGTGGATGTCCTGTTATCCCAGCAGGATAGGAGTAGATAGGATAGGATAGTAGATAGAAGGTGTTGACACCCTTCAAAATCAGTTACCAAGGGGCTATGCCGTGGCTCAGTGAATTAAGCTGACGTCTGCAAAGTCAGCGTCCCGAATGGGCAATGGTTAAAGTCCCAGCTGCTCCACTTCCTATCCAGCTTCCTGCTAATGTGCCTGGGAAAGCAGCAGCAGGAGGCTCAGGTGCTTGGGCCCTTACACCAAAGTGCGACACCCAGATGGAGTTCCAGGTTCCTAGCTTTGGCCTGGCCAAGCCCCAGTCATTGCAGCCATTTGGATAGTCAACCAGCAGATGGAAGATCTCTCGCTCCCTCTCTTGCAGATAAATTAATAAATCTTTAAAAATACATTTCAGTTTCCAAAATGGGCCTGTGATGCACAACACTGTGGGTTAAGTAGCCACTTGGGATGCCCAAATCCCTATGGGCAGGCCTTACTTGAATCCTTGCTACTCCACACTGATTCAGCTTCCTGCTAATGTACATGAGAAGATGATGACCCAAGTACTTACATTCCTCCCACCCATATGGGAGACCAAGATGGCGTTCCTGGCTTTTGGCTCCTGCTTGAACTAGCCCTGGCTGTTGTGGACATCTGGGGAGTAGAACAGATGAGAGATCTCGGTCTGTCTGTCCTTCTCTATCACTCCACCTTTCAATGAAATTTTAAAAATCAATTGCTTGGGGGGCTGGTGCCGTGGCTCACTTGGTTAATCATCCACCTGCGGCTCCAGGTTCTAGTCTCCGTGGCTCCTCTTCCAGTCCAGCTCCCTGCTGTGGCCCGGGAAGGCAGTGGAAGGATGGCCCGAGTGCTTGGGCCCCTGTACCCGCATGGGAGACCAGGAGGAGGCTCCTGGCTTCGGATTGGCGCAGCGCCGGCCGTGGTGGCCATTTGGGGGAGTGAACCAACGGAAGGAAGACCTTTCTCTTTGTCTCTCTCTCTCTCTAACTCTGTCAAATAAATAAATAAATAAATAAAGTAATTGCTCGGGGCCAGTGCTGTGGCTTAGTGCATAAAACAGCTGCCTGCAGTGTTGGCATCCCATATGGGCGCCAGTTTGAGTCCTGGCTGCTCTACTTCTGATCCAGCTCTCTGCTATGGCCTGGGAAAGCAGTAGAAGATGGCCCAAGTCCTTGGACCTTTGCACCTGTGTGGGAGACCTGGCAGAAGCTCCTGGCTTTGGATTGGTGCAGCTCCAGCCATTGCAGCCATCTGGGGAGTGAACCAGCAGATGGAAGACTTTTCTCTCTTCTTGTCTCTGCCTCTCTGTAACTCTGCCTTTCAAAAAAAAATCTTTAAAAAAAAAAATCTAAAAATAAAAATATGAAACTCTTAGAAGAAATAGGAGTAAATCTCCATAACCTTGAATTTGGAATGGGTTCTAGATTGGGCACCAAAAGCAAGGAAAGGAAAAAAAAGATAAACTGAACTTTATGGAAAAAAAAAAAAAACTTTGGTGTGTGCCTTTCAACTGAAAAGATAACATACAAAAATGGAAGAAAATATTTGCAGATCGTATCGCTGATTAAGTCTATGTTATCTGAATGTTTATGTTTTTCCAAAATTCATGTGTTCAGATTCTCACTGCTCCCCCTGCCCCTACCCAAGGAGCAGTGAAGCCTTTTGGAGGTTATGTGAATGAAATAAGAACCTTTACCCTTTTATTTTTTGAAGATTAATTTTCTTTATTTGAAAGACTTATAGAGGTCTTGCATCTGCTGGTTCACTCCCCAAATGACCACAATGGCCAGAGCTGGGCCCATCTGAAGCCCGGAGCTTCTTCCAGGTCTCCCATATGGATGCAGGGGCCCAAGGACTTGGGCCATCTTCTACTGCTTTCCCAAGCCATAACAGAGAGCTGGATCGGATGTGGAGCAGCCAAGACTCGAACCAGCACCCATATGGGATGCCGGCACTGCATGCTGCAGCTTCAATCCACCATACACCACAGCGCTGGCCCTGAGTAAGAGCCTTTATGAAAGAGGGCCAAGAGCAACCACTCTGCTCCTTCTGCCACTTGAGGTTGGAGTGAGAAGATGGCTGGCTGGGAAGAAGGGGCCACAGCCAGACACAGAATTGCCAGCACCTTCATCTTGGTCTTCCCAGCCTCCAGAACTGCAA